TACATAAAGCTCTGACATATGTTGATACATATAGCTATTGCTGAATGTTTAATGCAGTTGTATTCTTTATCTCAGATCACTATGAAACAACATAAAAACTAATGTTTGACTGTGCAGAGGACATGGAAGTTACAATCTTACATTTTTCCAACCTCCAAAATGTCTGCTTAAGATCATGACAGAAATTTCTTGTCATATTTTTATAGCAGCTGAAAGATAAAGCAAATAACTGCATTTTGACTGTACCTCACCAGATTCTACTAGCAAAATGATTGCTCCTTTGCATGACTAATTTTGATTAAATCAGCTCAATTTAAATACCAAATTGTATTCTTCACCTTCCTTCATTAAGCTATGGTATTTATTGTACAGACTGTTCTTGCCTGGAAAAGACCGGTAGACAATTTGTGTGAAGTGTTATTTTTTTATGACTGTTGATTTTTAAAAGTCTAACACTTTTGAAACAAATACTTTCAAAGAATATACGATCTATAAAAAGAGTATTCTTGTCAATGCGAAACCTTTTATTATTTGATTTGTCATGAGAGGAAATAAATAAGTGTGCTGTATGTATAGGAGATGAAAATTAGCTGCAAAATCTAGTATTTTATTAACTTTCTAAATCCTGAAAATACGATTTTTTCAAATTTCCTGTAACGCATTACAAAACATTGCCTTCTTTTCTTAAATATCATGTATGAAGTAGGTTTTTTTTCCTTGCAAATTACACTATGCTTGTTTACAGCTACTTGAAAATATCTATTTTACACAATGTTGGCTGAAGTCAACAGGCAATGTCAGGAGCATTTGCTAAGGCTGTAAATTATTCCTTCTATGTCTGTCTATTTTTGACCCAAAAAAAAAGTTCTTTTCCCTCCACTGCTCCAATGGCCATATTTGAACACTCCCAAATTAAGTCCATGGACTTCAATAGGATTTTTATCAAAACTGGCTACAGTTGTGGTCCTGGAGAGATCCATTTGTGGATCCAGACAACAACAACAAAAGGCTTCCTATTTTGTAGCATTTTTCAATCTCTTTCTACAGCATTCGGTAATACACGTGCTGTGCAAAGCTGAACTTCTTTGGCAGATACTACCAATTATAGCTGGCAAAATCAAGCTCAAACTTAGCGAATCTTTGCTATGTTTCCATTTTGCTGCAAACAGAACACGCGAAAGCTTTTACTTCACTTTCGTCTTTGGAAAAAGGGGAACTCGAGGCTAATAAGGAGTTATGCTTTCAGTTAGCTACAGTTACGTGTAACATATATTAATTTTGAAACCCCGTGTTTCTACAGCAGTTTCTCAATTGCTGTCTGCCTCAGATTGGTGTTGCACTTCTTAATGCTGTCACGTGAAAGACTTTTAAAGTCAAAAGAATCCACTAATGCACTGACAATTATCCAACTTTTCAGTTGGCCATAGCAACTATATGAGCAGCACAGCAGCTATTCCCTTTGGCGTATTTGTCTATATGGAAGTTAATAAAAGGAATCTGGGAAAGCCAAACTCATTTTATAGCTATTGAGGTAAACTATGATCTCTGAAGCTGCTCCCTGCAGATGTAACACTGTGCTTTTGGCATGTGGAAAAAAAAAA